GTACGTTACTCGAGTTGACAAATTTGGAACGTGAAAGGGTAAGGTAATATTATATATACATATATTATATTTAATATTTTATTTAGAAAGAGATAAACTCAGATAAACTATATATGTATGTACATGCATACATCTAACCTTGATACAAGCTTTCGAATCACATTTTCTACTTACCTCTCGTGTCCATCACCCACAATGAATTATTTTCTTGTAACGGTGTTCCATTATCATTGGTTATTAACATATGCACAGCTTTGATTAATTTTAGAGCCATTTTAGGGAAATGAAGTCGTTACTTTAGAGACCGCTCGAACGGGACGGACGTGTGCGTCTCGCTTCGTGTGTTGCATCATCTCAATATTCAAATTTCGTTTGCCGCACTTACTCTTTCAACCCACCTCGGAAGCAGGGTTCATAGAGTTGACTCCGAGGTAGATTTACTCATACTTTTGGAACGAATAGGCTCCGCCCATATGGTCAGTTACCTCGCGTTTTGGAACGGCGTAGAGTTAAACTTTGTTACTCGGAGTGAATTTTGGAACGCACCCCTGCTGGATTGCTCGCTGAATTAGAATCTTGCCACCGTATTGGCTGCGATGCTGGCACTGGCAGCACCCAATTAGTAGGGGCTAGTAACATTATCGTTAGAAAGTTACAGAATAGACCTACTGGCAACACTGCATGAGTAGACCAAAGACAACCGATCATAACCTTCCGTGCTCATCGCGTGCCATGCGTCTTTCACGCAACATGGCGACCGGCAAAGGACTTGCTGTGATTTTTCACCCGAAGACCATCAATCTGATTGGAAATAATAAGCTGAACAAGTTCTCGCGCGGCGTTTTGCGGCAATGCAGCACGTGCCAGCAGCATGTGATGACCGTCGCATCGACTGTCGGTGGCTGGAATCGTGAAAAAAGTAATTTGCACTCATACGCTCCAATACCTCTAGATTACATCATTATCTTATTTTTCGATGAAATTCTGTTCCCGGCGCTTTCGTTAGTGTGTCAACGACCCCCTCGCTCATTGACATTTCCATTCTAGATCGTTCGAGTTTCCATTCAGAATGTCTTGTCCTACAACACATGCTTGTGTTGAAACATTTTCTACTGCTTTGATACACTTGCATATCTCATATACATACATACATGTGTGTGTGTGTGTGTATGTGTGTGTGTGTGGTGTGTCTATACATATATATGATACACTATCTAGAGTATCTAGTAAGCAAGTACCGTATTAGAATATTCCAAGATGTTTCTTGCTTACTGGAGAGTTTGTTCTAGAAAGTTTTTTTTCAAGTTTTTTTTCCTTTGAATGCCATTATCTAAACAAATATATATACAAATGTCAACTATTGCATAATGGAGAACCTAATTTACTCTATATTTTTTAATGTTCAGACAATTAAATCTATATTTTTCTTTATATGCAAACAACGAAAAGCCTTCAGACTTATCTAAATCAATTGACATCCATTTCAGACATGGGAAGAATAATGCAGCCATATAGAGCCATACATCTAACACGTAGATTGTTAAAACGTAACTATTACGAAATCCTGGGTGTTTCCAAGAATGCCTCATTAAAAGACATAAAAAAGGCATATTATCAGCTTGCTAAAAAATATCATCCTGACACGAATAAAAAAGACCCGGATGCCAATCAGAAGTTTCAAGAAGTTTCTGAAGCATATGAAGTATTAAGTGATGATACTAAGAGGAAAGAATATGATACATGGGGTACAACCTCGGAGCAGATGGGTATGGGAATGGGTCAGAGTCAGGGACCCAAGAGTTACAATCAACACTGGCAGTACAGATCGACTATTAATGCAGAAGAATTGTTTAGAAAAATATTTGGCGATGCTGGATTCCAAAGTGGAACCTTCAATGATTTTGAAGATTTTACAGAAACAAAATATGGTTTTGGAGCAGCTCAAGAGGTGAACAAATGCGACTTTATATTTCCTGATTATTGCAACATATAAATAATACTTGTTTTATTACAGGTGATAATGAATTTAACGTTTTCCCAAGCCGCTAGGGGTGTGAATAAGGATATTAATGTGAACGTAGTAGACACTTGTCCGAAATGCCGTGGTTCACGTTGTGAGCTAGGAACTAAGTCGGTAAAATGCCAATATTGCAATGGTACTGGAATGGAAACAATAAGCACTGGTCCTTTTGTAATGAGTTCGACTTGTCGGTATTGTCAAGGCACGAAGATACACATCAAGTTCCCTTGCACAGAATGTAACGCAAAAGGACAAACGGTATGGAACTATTTCTTGATTTTGTCCATATATCGCTTGAGTATCTATCTCATTTATCATTACTACATTAATTAGTACGCTTCAATCGCATTTTTATAGGTACAACGTAAGAAAATAACAGTGCCAGTTCCAGCTGGAGTAGAAGACGGTCAAACGATCCGTATGGCAATAGGCAAGAAAGAGATATTTGTAACATTCCGTGTGGAGAAGTCTCGATATTTCCGTCGTGACGGGCCCGACGTGCACACTGATGCCGAAGTCTCGCTGGCACAGGCAGTGCTGGGTGGTACAATACGAGTGGAGGGCGTGTACGAAGATCAGACTATACAAATAATGCCAGGTACATCGTCCCACACGCGAATCCGTCTAAATAGCAAGGGATTGAAAAAGGTCGACGGACTGGGTTATGGCGATCATTATGTAAACGTAAAGATTACTGTGCCGAAACAATTGACGGATAAGCAGCAAGCGTTGTTTCAAGCATACGCCGAACTTGAGATCAATACTCCCGGCAGTATACATGGTATAACATATAAAACAGATGGTAAGAATAAATGATATAAAATATAAATCATTTTTAATATATTATTTCGAGTATTCTATCGATATGAATATTTGTGACGTCGAATATTTAATGCTATTGCAAAATACCATTGCACTAGCGTATCTTTATTAGATTATGTGTCGCTTGAGTTTTCTCCTGTGTACCTGCTATTACTAATTAAATAAAATCACATTAAAACATTACAAATGCGTTTCATTGACGTTTTTTGAAATGAAATAAAAAAATTCTCGTACAAATTTTTACGATAACAGAAATTTGCGTGAAATGTAATATGTAACTAATTCAGTAAGATACATATTTTTAAGTAAAGTCTCCTTCCTTAGTAGCTTCAATGTTTTTTCTAGGCACGGCAAGTCCAAAGGTACAAACTCAAGCGAGACAAGAGGTCCAAAATGATCAGAATGACGGTCTACTTACAAAAATTAAAAAAGCTATATTTGGATAAATTGTAAGTAGAATTAGGCGGAACATAATTTTATATCTGTGATACATTTATTACAAGTACACAAAGTATACTCTATAATTATAACTAGGATAAATCTCGATATTTTTTTCCACGCAGAATGGGATTATAAATTCATTACAATTTTCTTGTATGTTGTCTCTGACCCAACTCCAAAACATTTTCGAGGAGTAGATTCTTTGTAGTTTTTAATCAATTATTTTGTAATAAAAATATCATGTGATGAAAATTATTTACCGTAATTTTTAAATTACTACTATAAAATCTCCGTAAAACACCAATTAAATTTCTATAGCCTGATCAATTTTACAAGTTTTGATTTCATATGTAATATATATCTTAACAAAAGATATCTTTTCTAAATGTGTCGACTAAAGAGTGTTATTTAGGTCCATTGCACTTGGTGGAATCTATACGAATAGCACTAGGAAATACGTCTAACCTAGGAAATCACAACAACCAGTCATCATCTTCTGAGCCCGAGAATCCAGGAGATAAACCTCTTAATAATAAGTCCGTACATACCAAAGATACGTCGGACGTCGATAGCAAAAATAATACTAACGCTGGAATGCAACGACAAAAAGTGCCCCAGTAATCAAAGCAATCTGTAGAGAGCTAAAGAATACTGTTCGCGTCGTTACTGATAAATAAATTCTAATTCGCACTAGCATTATCGTGAAAATTTTTGGGTCTGAAATTATTGCACTTATTAGTAATATATTTCGATCAAGTTGAACAAGCATGTGAATTGTTACGAGTAAGTGATGCCAGTCTGATGTCGCTTAGGTAACATATAGCTGTACAGTCGTATCATAGCGTACAAGAGTTTGTCTTTATTACATCTTATTTAAATAAAGTGTACATGAAGATAAATATAACTGTTATTTGTCCATCTTAATCGAGATGTATATTTATAAAATAAATTTTCTGCAACACGTATCCCTTTACATATACGTGAAAAATGAATTCACATTCTCTTATGCAGGTTCTTTAATTTTTTTTTCTTTTACATACCCACACGCGCGCGCGCACACCCGTTACAAGTAAATGGTGGATGTAGATTGTACAAAAAAATGTGACTATAAAAATAGCCATCTAGTTTAACTATGTAACTTGCGCGTTTTATAACTTGCGAAATAAAAGGTATACATCTAAAACATACATATCTGCACGATCTGTTTTTTTTTTGCAATTGTGTAATCATAAATAATTTATAAGTCAAGGGTAAGTTGTAACTGTATTCGTTAACAAATAGTAATTGTGATTATGATGTCAGAATATATGATAAACGCAATAATGATGAATTGCGTGTATATACAGATGGTTTTTAGTATTCTAAAAGATTTTAAGGGGTGATACGTCTCATAGGTGCATACAGTATTACATTCTTGATATTTATTAATATTAAACAAAAATGATATGGTCGTTGTGTCACACTGTATTCAAGACAAAAATTTCATATAACCTTATATCTGAAACGATTGGGTTTTAACAATACAGGGTATCAAATTTGAAGGAAAAATTTACTTTTTTCACAAATTTCGAAAATCACTCGAAATATTTTTATATCCTTGAAATGTACATAAAGTTTTATCAAAATGATCTGGAGGATTTTCAAAATTTTTTCTTTTAATATACCTTGTATCCTTTGAAATTACATCATCTTATATATAGTTTTTATCTTGAATTAAAATGTGTGAAGAGGATGAAGGGTATTAAGCAGGGTTGGTAAAAAACATGTTTTAAACGTGTTTTAAACAGTTTAAAACATGCTTAATTGATATTTTTAATATGTTTTAAATGTTTTTTTTTATAGTTTACTGTTTAAAGCATATTTGAAGCATTAAAAACATATTTAAGAAGAAACACAATGTTTTATTCTTAAAAAAAAAATATTAATCTTTATATCAACCCTGATCTTAAGTAAATTGAACATATTAATCTTTAGTTAGTAAGCCGTACTTGAGTCCAATGTTTGTAAGACTCTGCGTTGCTGATACTCTTAATATAGCTACCATTATCGCCGCGATAGTAACAGCGCCTTCCAAATACAGACCGTACAGTATTCGTATGTAACCGACGATAGTAGAGAGATCACCCGCCGCAGTGAAGTCTAACGGAAACAACAGACTCGCCGCGATCGGTCTCGATCGCGCTATGCCGAAGCACAGTACTCCCAAAACATAGTATGTGACTACAATAGAAATAAACTATAAACAAGAATAGCAATAATTGTAGTCGAAACAAATTTTTATAGAGACTCGTGATAAAAATTTTACCTGTACCAACAAATGATAATATTTTGATCCATTTCGGCATACGTCTGGAATAACTCGATTCTGTACTGTTGAGTTGCACGCCTTGTCTGGTAAGCGCGTACTTTTGTAGGCGAAACGCTACCATAAGACCGAAATTCAATATAAGAAGAAAATGGGCAGGAATACCGATAGCAGCGAAAATTACTCCTACCGTGCGACCAGCGGTTGTTCGCGGAACCGGTGCTCCAAAACCTGTAAAATTGAAAAATATTTAAGAGAAAATAAAACACATAGTATAATTTTCAGAATGAAAAGATTGATATATAATTATCTAACAATAAAAATTAATTCTAAATTCATTAAGAATTAGTCCCAATTAATTAACGTACCTAAAGTTGTAATTAACGATATGGCGAATAATACACAACCGGGAAATGTCCACAGCTGTCCGCTATTATCACCCTCGCCATAACCGGAACTGACAGCGATCAAGAGGAGTTCTTCGTGTTTGGCAACATATTGACGGACTTTATCGCTCCACAATGGCTCCACATCCTGATCCTGTTCCGTCCGCAATTGCCGCAACTCTGTCGCCAAGCCGACTGCTAAATCCTTCTGCATATTCTTCAGCAACACGACCTGTTCGCGCTCGCGAGGTCCTTCCGTGGCGCAAAATGCCGCCGCACCTGCCACCGTCCATATCACAAGTAACCAAAGAAGACCTGCGATAAAAAATTATAAATTAATTAAATTACTTCAAGTGATAAATTCTTAAGTGGATAAACGGTACGTAAAAATTTTAACTTATAGCTCGTACCGAATTGCGATAATAACAATCGTCCCAAAAATCTCAGATACTTCCTAAATCTCGAGACCTTCGAAGAATTTCCGTTATCCTCTTCGATATCTCTGAGAGATGGCAGAATCCTTAATCGTAGAGGTAAACCTTCTATGGTCTGGACAGTTACGGACTTTGTCCACTTCGTCCGTATTATACCGTTTTTTAAGTGAGGTGAAATCTCGGAAGATATCGTAGTAGGTGTGTCTGTAATATCTGTTTTTGAATACGTTTATATACAAGCAAAAACTCAGTGATATATAAGGCATTTTTTTATAAAGTTTTGTATATAGTATCCAAAGAAGCATCGAAACCGTTTTTAAAGTTCAAAGTGTTACGCAGTATATTAAGTCAAAAAATAATTGTTTTTTAATTACGAAAGAAAATATCAGGTCGAATTTTCTAGTTCACGATGATAGCTATATTAGCAAAACATGCTGTGATCGATTGCGCGAAGCTTAGTAATAATTTAAATAAGTATGCTGAAAAAATACATACTATCTCCTCCTGCATACGTATAAACTTATGTTACGTGATATAACGAACATATTTTCTTTCAATATCTTTATACAAATTGTTTACATAAATATTATAATAGATATTCACTTGAAAATATTTCTTGCAAGCTATTTATAAATTGTAATAGGTTTACATTTTTCTTGCATTATTCTAAAATTACGTCAATTTTTAATATTTCATTTTTAATATTTCATTTCTATTGCATCAAGTACAAAGATTTCTACCAATTAAAATGGTTCGAAAAAATTGAAATAACATACCACAAACGACGTCGTCGTTGTCGTCCTCCTCGTCTTCTTTCGCGCGATGCTCCATCCTCATGCAAAGCTCAGTAATGCGACGATGTGCAGCATCCTTGACGAGAGCCGCGGTCTTGATCCGTGGATGGACTAAGTTCCTGCAGACGCGACGTCGTTTCCTGGTGTCCGAGGGGAATCGTAAAGGTACGGCATTACGTTCGCGTACGCGCGGCACGGATGCAGCAACGAATGTCGGAACGCGTAGTAGCGTCGCGACGCTTGGAACGTCACTGAGGGGTGTCGCGACGCCTCCGATGGTCGGTGGTTGCGGGAAAAGAGGTACATCCATGGGCTAAGGTCAAGATGAGCCACACTATAGTCGCTGTAAACTCTACGATCGCGTCTAGCGATCTCTCGGTCGATTACACAATCGTACATATTTCACACAACATTGAGAAGAAGACTACACGCCTTCGCTGTAATGTGCATATACTGACTTCTCGAGAAATTTCCCTTAACGTCCCCGAGCACTTGTTGAATTGATTCGTCCCGCAAAAACATCAAGTTTTCTGTATTTCGGAATCTTTATACGCTCTGCTGAATTCCTTATTTGAGCGTAGGCCTTGAACTCAATAATTTTACGCGAAACGAATTTATTTTTATGTTATGGTCTTATATTTCTATCTTATGTACGACAACGACGTTTATTTCATGTCGTTTATTTTCAATCAGCCAACTGTGCCAGATGTTAATCATCATATAGGTACATATAGATAGTATTTCATTCGCGGGTAAATTCGACCATCCGATCTTGATAAAATTTTCCGTCGATCACAATTTTAATTTAATTATTCGTTGTGAAGTTTTTTGCTTATTCATAAGCACGTACATATAGGAGTTGGATCGATGAGGTTTGCATTTTACAGAAACATGCTTTATGTTCCATTAATAATACTGCTACGCTATTGAATACATAATATACTAGATTATGATGGCAATATGTTTAACTTGATAATCCACTCGTGTAGTACCATATCATACATTTCATAGCTATAACTCACTGCATTATTAATATACTTCTTAATTATGTATTAGTAAACATATACTTGTCTAACAAACGGTAAATATAGTAATCGGGTGGATAAAGTACAGAAAAAAAGAGAAATAAGCAGAGTTACAAACATATAGCGACGATTCGATATCTCAGAGACTTCCGAAACTATACTGGCCTCGTGTATTCTGTGAAACGAAATCTTCGTTCATTCGACGCGTTGCACCGTGGCACGACCGGAAGAAATATGATGTATGTATATATACATATATCTCTTCTGCGAACCACTAAAATTAGCTGACGCGGCCTTGGAATCAATGACGGTAATCTTAAACGATTCCCGTATCGCCACTTTCTGTCTATAACTAATTGCACACGTGTCCTATCTTTGATTAGACATGCTTTCGCGATGGATCCTGCGTGATCGCGTGCGTGGCAAGAAAAACTTGCCCCCGTTCGATAGTACGTACCGCAATCACGGTAGGGCTGTTATAAATACGTCACGCGATATGCCAATTATAGCCGACTTCAATAATACGCGACATCAATCAGCTGTAGCTTGGATTAATTAAAAATCCAAATTAATATATATAGGTAACATTTCCGATATAATTTTTATCGTATGCACACCGTATAAGCATCATCTACTTACAACATATATATCTTAATTCCCAATACTGCTAGTAAACGCTCTCTTATTGAATTATCGATCATTTGACCTTGTTATCTGTACATTGTTCTCGCTGTGCAATGCTTGATCATTCTACTGTACAATTTAAGTGATGCGTCAATCATATGTAGATTCGAATTTCCTTGATATACATGTAAAAATTGTTTCTTATGTTAAAAGAAGGGAAATAAAAAAAAATAAAATATCTATTCTATTATAGTGGAAATAAAGAATCATTATAAAATCATTAAGGCCCGTTTCTACCAACATAGATTAACTCTTGGTTCAACTTACTCTTCATCTTTTTCTAATTTTTAGAAGTAGAAAAAGATGAAGAGTTAGTTGAACCAAGATTAAAGTTAATCTACGTTGGTAGAAACGGGCCTAAGTCAATCACAAAACCTTATTAAGCGTTTTAAGATATTACTTAAGACAATCTTAACATAAGAACGGATTATAAATATGAAAGAGTAAGTTTACATGAGACCCGTCATAACATAATATAATTAATTATAATCTCAATTTTTTTCTCGTTCAATGAGGCTTCATTCTTTGCAAAGTATTAATTTCTGTTTAACTTAACTGGCCAGTTAGTCCATCGGAATTGACCAATCGCATTTGTCATTTTGTTTGCTTCAAACAAAATGATTGGTCAATTCCGATGGACTAACTGGCCAGTTAAGTTAACTGAGCTTGCTGACAGTGGCCCTAAGTTACGAGAAGATGAAATCCCGAGGTTGAAATCTTACGTGAAATTATATAGTGGCGCCATTCTTTCTGCTCCGTATGCAATTACGTACGGCTCTGCATCTCGCTTGCGTGTGTTGTATCCCCACGATTCGTCAACGCGGTTGCGCGGCATCGATCCGCGATACTCGCAATCTGCTGCATCTCCTCAATAAACGGCATGTCGTGCCAGTTTGACAGCGGATGTTCCTGGGAGGACCCGCCGTTTGTGTTTGTAATATGGAACATCGTTCCACCGTTCTCGATCGACGAGGAGATCGGAGAACAACCGAGGTGCGTTTAGACGGGCTGGTCATGGCCAACTTGTCGATTTTAACTTCATTTGCGTGCTAAAATGTCTGTTAACCCTTCAAAATTGCTCCATGTTGCTAAAAATATGACAACAACCAAATGCCGATATAGTAGAATGATCCATTTCAGCCTTAATTGCGCTGCAAGCGTCTTCCTTCTGGAAAGATAAATTTCAGATTTACCAAATAATATATTAATCTGAATTAGGTTGCGGAAAAATTAACTTGATTGCCTCGTGCCTTTTAATCTTTGGCTATTTATAGATTAATGAAGTAGACAGAAAGATTTATACTTTTGAATCTTTGAAGTACGTACGTTAATTAGATTCTGAACATATTCTCAGAGAAAGCGATGCGCAGCCTCGCTCGCAAGTTATTAGTATGGCCCGCGACGTTGGTGCTGTCCCTCTTGGCCTTCCGTCTGCTATTCGGCCGAGAATTTCGATTGCCAACAACGACGCTCGCTTTTCGCGATGACGGTGATATCTCCACGTTGGATAATAGCCATACAAATTCGCAGCAGGACGCTGGTCCACCAGGACCACCCGTTTACGCATCGGGTATATACATGGCGGGTCAGCGACCTCGCAATGAAAGTGCCTGCAGATGGTACCATGACTTGCCGGATGTCCTCTCCTATCCACCATCCAGACTCACATGGAGCTCCGAAATTGGCGAGAAGAGTCCCTACAGGTAGAGATCAATCGTCTACTGTCATCTACAAAAGATCATCGTTGTTTTTCTTCGTATATTTAATTCAGCTTACAACTAAAAGACTGACTAAAGATTAAAATAAAGTCATCGACACCGGAAAGCAGTACTCAACATAGAAAACGGAGCACGGAGAAAAAAGTTTGCTGGCACAGCATACTTTATGTTGTCGTAGCAGATTTTCTTAATCGTCGCATACCTATTGAAAGACATGAATCTCTATCTCTTCCTCTCTTTTGGCTTTGAAAGAGGAAAAGCGAGAGTTTTAAACCTGATCGCTTGTAAAAGTCAAAGTAACGTTGGTGCAACCGGAGGGCCTTACTGATCTAATTAGAAAATAATTTTTTTGAAAATTTGCTGCAACGGACAATGTTTTACCTCAAATTAAATTTATTCTAGCAATTACATTCATATATCTACAAACGAATTTATGCAGCAATATCATTCTATTTTAATAATAAAATGAGTTAAACGTCGGACAATACGATGTTATTATAATTTATAACAGAATTCTTCGTTATGTTCGGTCGCTTTCGCGTTGAATATATCATGCGATGGTTTTGCTGCGACAGCGAGAATTCTTTTTCTCCGTGCAGGGTTCTGCCATTCGTGTTGCTTGGCGCCGTCGAAGCGACGGACAGTTTGCCCCAAGTCACGCTGTCCACACACGCCACCGCCGATCAGGTTTACGGAATCGTGGAACTCGCCAGACGGTGGGAGGGACCGCTCAGCCTGGCGGTATTTGCACCAGGCCTCGATGCCGGCCTCGCTGTCGCTCAGCTTGATCGAGCCTGTCGTTGCGAGCCTGCCATGTACAAGGTCTCCTCAACTTCCTTGTCACGATCGCGAATCTCTAATCTTATATATCAATAACTATGTTTATACAGCCCGATTTATGCCGAAGTTATAACATCGATGTTATGGACTAGCCAATCATAGCTATTCTTCTGAAGAATGGAATGACCGTGATTGGCCAATTTTGTAACATCGATGTTATAACTTCGGCGTAAATCGAATCGTGTAAACGTAGTCAATTACTTAGTACAATGCTACGCTCTATCGACCCTCAAAGTTTTCATGCTTTCGTTATATAATAATGCGAGAACTCAGGAATCTGCGCTTTTAGGTCACTCATATAAAAAAAAGTTACACCATTTTATTATCGTACAAGGAAAATTTTTTATAGATAAAGTTTCTTTGTTAGTCATTTAGTTAAAATTAAATCTTACTAGTTTGCTTAAATGTAATGTAGATATAAGCATAGTATTGTATACTCACGGAGTGCACACAATTTAAGTTAAGTTTTTTTTAATTGTGTTTTAATCTGATCGATCAATTTTCACTTAATATTGTACATTTCTTACGTTAAAACAATTTTCTAGATACAATGCAAAATTATTCATGTGATACGCGGTGGACAAAGAAACTGACATGAAAGTATGTTGTGAAGGCATGATAGACGCGAATTCCGTTATATTGAAATGCTTGCTTGCGATTAGCATAGTTCTGTGTGGAATACAAATTGTCTTAATTAAGATTACTAAAGTCGATTAAGAATATATACGTTGTAAATTTAGAATACGTACCAAACATACTTGTTTGTATTTTACGATTAAAGGGCTTATCCTGCAATTAGAGTGTTAAATGATATAAAGTATCTCTAAATTTATAAAGATAAAAGAGTTTAACACAACATAAATATAATTATTTCAAAATTTATGATCTGTTATTCAATGCAGACTTTAAGAATCAGATATTTATTAATGAATTATTAATGAATTAGAGCTACTTGTCGACCTAATTAGCTTAATATAAAACCCTGTTCAGAATGCCTTATCGATTTTTGTAGGCCAATGTATATTATACTTATAACATTTTTGATATATCATTTTCTTTTTTTTACCAATGTATTTTGGGTTACAATTGATATCATGTCTTCTGTTTCCGTTCTACCCTTTTCTCGTATATTACACGGTATACATAAAATTCGCACTCATTGTAGTCTTTTTTTATTTAATGACCTTGCGCGATTGCAGGTTTCCGTCCACCTGGTGTTTCCGGCCGGTCGACCGCCCGCCTTGAGCGCAATCAGTCGTACCCAGGGCGATTGCGCCGCCTCTGATCTCCAGTGGCGGCAGGCAGAGACCGAGAGGCGGAAGAGGAGAATGACATATCCCATCAACGTTGCCCGGAACGTGGCGAGAACGATGGCGAACACATCCCGCGTGCTTGTATCGGATATCGAGCTGTTACCAAGCGCGCGGCTGGCTTCCGGCTTCATGGAGATGGTGCACCAGAGACCGCCCAAGCACGGCGTAGTCTTTGTTGTGCCTGTATTCGAAATAGAATCCAATGAACAGCCGCCGGCGACGAAGCGCGAACTGCTCGCCGCCTGTCGTGCCGGTTTGGCGGTATATTTTCATAGGTATATACATATGTATATATACAGGATTTATGTCTCATCCATATGTTTCGAATGTTCTAAATTTGAAATCGTTGACACGTGACAACTTTCTCTCGTGTGCTCGTATCTCATAAGAATTGAATAAAATATTCATGTTGAAATTGTATATTCAATAACGGTACAAGACGCCTCTCTTGCAGGTTTGTCTGTCCACACTGCCAGCGATTTCCTGGGCTGACCAGGTGGTTGATTAGACCGGACCCGGGTAGGATCCGACCGCTTATCGTTACCAGAAGGGAATATCCGCATCATGCTCTTCATTGGCACGCGCGATGATCCGCTCTACACAGAAGAGATGTCCTGGGAAGGCAAGCAGGACAAAATGGCCCAGGTACAAGGCAATTTCCTTTAGAGAATCATCTCTAATATTTACAAAAGTTTATACTCATCATTCTCTAATATACGTTTCCAACAATATGGATTAACTTATTTAATCTAAATTCAACTTACTCTTCATCTTTTTCTAATTTTAAGAATTAGAAAAAATTAAAAATAATTAGTTAAACTATGATTAAAATAAATTATTGAGCATAAAAGCATACAGCACAGATCATTCCAGCAATCATTGCAGTAACGTTGCAAACAAACATTGCAGCAATTAATATTGCTGCAAGTTTTGTGCTGTATGGGAAGTAGATTTACCTAAAGTGTAATAATTATTCGTTCACTATTGATATCATACTTGCAAGTTCTTATGTGTTTTCATTGGTCGCTATTTCTTATTTTATATAGATGTTCGAGATGTGTCTTTTGAATTATCGTCTGGTCGTGCTTGACGGTGCCTTTTTAGTGCATACTCCGGGAATCAAACGAAAAACACGCAAAATCAATGCAGCCACACAGGAGTTCTTCCGGTCACATGAAAGAAGGAATGCAAGGATTTATCAACGTGTGATAAAACGTCTAATCAGGCGATATCCGATCAATCGTAGATGTGCGCAGTAAGATATTTGCTGCGAGATCTCGGCGTGATAAGCCTTCCTGAAAAAAGAAGAGATAAAGAGAGACCGCTTTGACACGTGTACGGTGCCTGTATCCGTATACAATAGAAAAATATTTTTCGGTGACGTCGAATTTTATATTAGACTTAGGAATGGCTGCGAGTTGACATCGATTGCTTTTTCACAGCAAAAATAAAGGCTTTTTTTACTGCAAAAAATGAAGATTCTTTTCTTAAAACGAAGCATACTTCTATAATTCGATCCTTCTAATTAAACAAAATCTTCACGGTTTTTTAAATTAAATATTAAGAACTTCGATCAAAATTTAATTAACTTTATCAATGGTTAATTAATTTAATTAACATAAGAGCCGCTTAATAACAAAAATTCTAATTGTATAATTCATCTATCTTAATCTCCAATATTTCTTCTCACCTTCAAATTAATAATTCTATCCATGTTAATAAAATACTATAGATATTTTTCAATAAATTAATCGCTAATTAAGGTAATCAGTGGTTAATTTAATCAGAATTGCTTAAAATAAATTATTAATTATATATTCCTTGTTCTTAATTTTTTCTAGACAACAAGAAAATAATAATTTTAATCATGTTAACAGAATAGTGTAGAATAGATACATCTTGATAACAAACAGAATTGCTTTTGTATAATTCATTGTTCTTAATCTAATCTTGTTTCAAATTTTTTAAGCGCAACATAAATTAATTAAACTTTATTTATCAGGTATTGTCTTAATTCACTGATTAATTTAAATCAATTACAGTTTAGTCTCTTCACTAGTTGTCCACTTGAATGCTCCTCAGTTATCAGTGTTGGGCTTAGATAATTAAAAATTATCTAAATATAGATAAGATAAATTACACAAAAACCTATCTTAGATAAGATAAATTACACAAAAACCTATCTTAGATAAGATGAAGATGATTAACTTTACATTAATCTAGATAAAAGATGAAATTTAAAAAATTTTCACCTAGATAATTTTTAAGATAATTTTGTTTTTAACTATTAGGCAGTAAAACGATCTATGCCCAATTTCTTCACTTTTAGATAACTTTATCCAAGAGACATCTTCCAGAATGCAATGGAGATATCTCCTGGATAAGGTTATCCGCAACTTATCTGGGAGTGCAGAAATTGGGCATTATGATACAAAAAATATATTTATATTTTTATTAATCTTTATTTTTTACGAATAAAAGTTTTTTGAACATTTCGTCTAACAAACGGTTTCTACGTGGAATTAATATTTGTTGTCCACAAATAAAAAGGCTCTCTACCTTGTTTAATTAAAAGTATCTTAGAAAAATGTTAATTTAATGCTAATATAAGCATCTTAAAAACTGCAAATTAATCACGAAAAATAATTATATGTATATAAATAATTCACACTGAATATTTATAAGCACTAAGATTTGCTTTGACCGAAGATAGAATTATTTCTTTTAATTCAGTTTATCCTTGTTTAACACTAGGTGAACGTCAAGGATAAAATAATATATATGGCACTCGGACGGAAATCTGAACATAGCTTAATTTTTTTCAAGAGCTGCCAATAATATAACTACTTATTGCAGTTCCTATGGACAAACCTTTTATCTATATAACACATAAAAATAGTATCAGAAAGAAATTCTCTGATAGTATCATCGAACAATGTCTTTAGTTTGGATATAACAATTTAAATTTCGAAATAAAGCAGTAATGAAAAAAATTTGCAAAAATATGCACAGAGATAAAAATAACTGCTATAGTAGTGTTGTACCCTGAAGGGATAAACAGAAGAAAATATAACCTAATGGAACAGCTGATTCAGACAACACAAAGTATCCAAAATCAAAATACATTTTTGGCGTCTAGAAAACGTCTTATCTCTCAATTTTGAACTTTGCGTCGTCTGGGGTTTCAAACGGCCGCGTTGAGATAGGTAAGCCGCTATTGGTCGCCGTGACCGTCTAACGGAAAGTCGCAATGACCAATGGCGTTCTAATGGTGCATTCGGGGAATCACTATTAGCTATTAGCGCTACTCTGTCATTCTATCTTTGTTGTTTATTAGACGTAAAACAAGGATAGAATGACAGAAATAGCGCTAATAGCGACTCCTCAAACGCACCTGTAAAGGCCATCACACACGTACAAAAATTTTAGTCGTAATCGTAAGGCCGTAAGCAAATCGGCCAATCACAGTCGAGCGTTTTTAAACGCGAGATCGTAATTTTGATTGTGATTGTGATTTACTTGCGACCTTACGATTACGACTAAAATTTTTTTAGTGTGATGGCCTTCACGATCTGCTTTTCTAGAGTACCTTTCGGAGCAGGGCCCCTATTCTTGAAAAAAAAAAAAAACGTATACGAAAGTCTAGAGAAATATCACAGTATACGTTACGTATACGTTACGTATACTATAGTATTTTTCTAGAATTTCGTATACGTTTCTTTTCAAGAATAGAGACCCAGAAAGAGATTCCGGGCGCCATTCGTATTTATAACGTTTCAGGTTCGTACGTTTGTCGTTTGGTAATTTTGAAGAAAAATCATTCAGAATATGCATTTCGTTAACGTAGCGATACAACGGTAAACGACAATTACTCATAGAGTAAATCCTGTGAAATCAGAAGAGTAAATCTAAAAACGTTGCCATTCGTCGGTTAATCGTATGATTTATAACGACAGTCTCCGAGTAATCGTCCGATGAGTCACCGGTAATCTCGAGCTTTTTTCTTTCTCCCCTTCTCACATGACAGAGACTGTGTGTAATTTATAGCTTAGAGTTACATAATAATGATATATATGATATAGTGAAACCACGGAAAGTGGAGCTTTAATACAAGTAGAGCTAAGATGTTGTTCCATCAGGTCATTAAAGCCCGGTTGCATCAACGTTACTTTGACATTTTTCATCATCAACTCACCAATTAAAAAATTTTGTAAAAATATCATATTTCCACTTCAAATATAAAGTAACTCTGAAAATTTCAAAATGGAACTCGAATGGAATGTACCTATAGTTAAAAAGTTCTATTGTGTCCTATAGTATTGCAAAACCGCGCCGTCACAACAAACTATACATTCCATTTAGAAATTTTCAGTTACTTTATAATTGTGTTGAAATAGGAATATATTTTTACAAAATTTTTTAATTGACGAGATGATGAAAAACGTTAATAAAAATCATAAACAAATGGAAAACAATTTATTTATATGAAAACGATAAATTAAAAATAATCCCCATAGAACAATTTAACATCTTTAAAATTGGTTTCTTGCATTTTTTTTGTATGATATGATAATTTGAATGTTCGCATGAGCGACTTTTTTTTATGAATTTCTGCAACTTAAGCGTAAATAACTCAACAAAAAAATATCAAATTTTTTTTGCAAAAACATGTGTCTCGTATTTTAATCTGCAGAATATGTTAGCAAATTAAAAAAAAAATTTTGAATGGTGATTTCGAAGCTCAATGGAATGCCTCATCTGTGAGATTGAGAGAGAGAAAAAGTTATATCTTTTGCTGTCTGCAAAAATTTGTATATTTTTTATAGATTTAACGCAGTGTATACAATAGAAGTAGCGATCGTAGGGTCTTAGGTCGTAGAAAATTAACCTGAATTATAGTCGAATAATCGAGGATAATAATGAAGAGAATAATCGACTATAATTGGTCAATTTTCTACGCAACTTGAGATCCTACGACCGCTACGACTTCTATATTGTAGACACCATATTAATTAGTAATTACTCGAGTAAAGTTTCGAAACGCAGATCAATAATTTCCTCTCGCCAAATAGAGTATATATATTTTGTAGTTTGTATTAGTAAAATATCTTCCATTTTCATTTCTTTTTTGAAAAATCTTCCTTCGACCTTTCGATGGATCTTAAAACATTCTAAATGAAGGAAAACCTTCCAATGGAACAAGTTAGCTAATACCGAATTGTTGAATAAGGCTGAGGACACTAAGCTACCGGAGGAAGAGCGACAGAGCGTTGCTGACAGAGAGAGTTGTTGATTCCATCAATTCCATGGAGACATCTATGTAAAAAACAGAGCAGACAATAGGAGAAAGAGAGGGAGAGAATTCCCACTGTACTACTGCAAGTCGCCAGTTACGACGGTTGCCGAGATCGGAAACGATCGGACGTGCCCGTCTTTGCCGGGTGCACACCAGTGCACACCTTTCCTCGGAAGTGTCGAAACACCGCACACCACACACCGTACAACTGCGGAATCGTACGGTAATCGTTAATTACAAGTGTTTCGTCTCTTGCAGTCTTGCCTTGCGGCGCCGGTAGCAGTCCAGTGTCGGCTGATGTCGGCCGGTGTTGCGTGGTGTGGCATGGCGTGACTATCGGACAGAACGAGCAGAAATAGAGTCACCCGGCCAAATAGGTTCGTTCGTTTATTATCTTGAATATATTAATTATTACTGCTCCTCTTGGTGATAGCGACAGTGATGAAATACTGATAGCAAGACTTAGGCCCAGCGCTTACAAAACGTACGCGACTTTGCCGGGTTTTAACTGCCATTGTCGTAAGACATTGAGGTTGCCTTATCGTCGTCGTCGCCCTTCTCATTTTTCAATTCTCATTCAGGCGATAATCGGAGCAGCATTCCAACTAATTCCAATAGCGCACGCGCGCGTTAGGCTGCAGGAACAGCCAAAACGGCGCAACCCGTGGCACGAGCGTTCTCTCGCCTCACTACAGTTACTACTCTCGTCTCGTCTCGTCCGTCCGCCGTTCGGTGGCACGTTTCAGATCGCGCCGTAGGCCGTACATGTCGAAGCGGCCAAAGCGGCTCCGGGTGAGTGCGTGCATGTGTCTTCTCACCCATCTCAACCATCTGACGTCATCTCTCTCTCTCTCTCTCTCTCTCTCTCTCTCTCTCTCTCTCTCTCTCTCTCTCGCTCTCTCGCTCTCTCGCTCTCTCTCTCGCGCCTTGCATGTCCATTCATGTGCATGTATCTTTTCTTTCTACTCCTTCACTCATTTGTGTTAGTACAGCAATGATAGTATGAATGATTTATATTGTTTAATTTCAGTAGCTTGATATCATGATTTTTTTTAACTTTTCCTTTGTGTCGTTGAGCATTCGTACTTGTTAACAAGTCATCAGTCATTAATACAAAACTAGCGTATTATTTATAATATATATATTATTAGAGTTGTAGTTTCTACAATCCCTGTTATTAGACGTCTTTTCTTATCAAGAATATTTGTTTGCAGAACACAGAGAAATGAATATTTTCCTAAATATATCGGCCACCTTTTGGTCACCACACATTTGGTTACCTCCTAACATTACATGGGAGGATATTAGTCCAAATGCAGACAATAAATATGCTAATTATCAGCATTTAATATATCCGCTGCCTATGGCAATTGTTCTTCTAGGAATAAGATATACTCTTGAAAGGTAAGCTTCCTAGACTTTATTTGGTCATGTAAATAAATTTTATAGTTTATTTCAAAATATTAATGTTTTAAACAAATCCTAATAGTAGACCAATATTTAAACGATACAACTGAATAAGGAAAGTGCTTTATTCAGTCTAAGCTAGATCTTAGTGCTTAACAATATAATTTTGATGAATTTGTTATATATATATTAATATATTTATATATAATTAATATATTTATATATATATATATAATTAATATATTTAGAAATATATGATATTAAGCATTAAGAAATTATACACTGAAAAAAATGTTTTAACAGCATTATTTTAATTGAAAATAATCTTGTCGATTTATATAACAACAGTATCAATGAAACAAATAAAATTTTATTAAAACGAAAGCGTAAGTATTTGTTTTACTAATGATGTTATTGAATTAACAAAATTATTTTTAATTAAGATAATGCTGTTGATGCAACATCATTTTTTTCAGTGTCTACATCCAATTTTGTAAATTGGCGCGCCACACGCGATTTTATTTTCACTCTTGAAATTCTAAACTGAAATTAAGATAAGATAATATTACAAATTGAATTGATAAGCAATTTAATGATATTGATGTTAATAAGCATTTTAAAACATTGTAAAGAACGCAAAAAATATTACTTCAATTTGGGTTCCAATTTGAACCTTCTTATATCCTGTAATGGATGTTTAACAATTCAATCACTGATGCATAGTGATATTTATCATAATATCTATTATGATATCTATTAAGAAAATATTTGTTGAAGATATGACAATTAAACAATTAAATTGGCGCACAGTTACAGAACTGGATATATACACTACTCAACAAAATTAAAGGATCACTTGTTCCACCCTATAAAAATAGGCAAATTTCAAGATAGAATAACTTTGTCAAAAATCATCGTATCGAAATGTTTAAAAAAACATCTCGATACGATGATTTTTAACAAAGCTATTCTATCTTGAAATTTGCCTATTTTTATAGGGTGGAACAAGTGATCCTTTAAGTTTGTTGAGTAGTGTATATATAAATTCATACTGTGAAATATTATTAAGCTAATTATAAAATCTAACTCAGATCTCGAGTAAGACATTTTCTTTACATATTAATGTTTTATTTAAAAAAAAAAATTAGATTTATGTACATTGCTATCGAAATGATTACATCAATGAAATTGCAAAATGTAATATCTAATACATAATAAAAGATTTATACGAACCTTCAAAGTAACACATGTATATATAATTAATGTTTAAATAGGTATTGGTTTGCTCCCTTTGGAAAATCGCTTTCTATAAAAAATACTAGGAGCAAAAAGGCAGTATCCAATGAGATATTAGAAAAAGCATATCTTAGTAAAAAAACCAAGTATAAACAGGTGAGTGACTAATGTAAAAAAATTTAATATTAAATATATATAACTTATAATTCATATGACCTCAATGACCATCAATAATGATTAAATGTTTATACAAAGAAAATTTTTTATTCATATATTAACACGTTGAATGCCATGGAGATTGAATGCACTGGTGATCGGCGCAATGTCAAGATTAATAGAAACACATAAATGTTAATATTTTTAATATTGGTGCCTTGGGCAAGTAATATCAGCGTGATATTCAACGTGTTAAGAAAAATATCAGGAATATTAAAAATAGTATAAATAGTGCTAATTGATATATATGTTTTTATGTACATATATTGTTTGCTACATGAGCACTTTGTAACACATAACTCTATGTTTTTAAGATTTTGGCATTGGCTAAACAATTAGATTGGTCTGAAAGGCAAGTAGAGAGGTGGCTTCGGCTGCGTCGTTCTCAAGACAAGCCGTCTACTCTTACAAAGTTCTGCGAAAGTTGGTTAGTCATCGTCTTAATTACCTGTCTCGTATCGTGCATAAGTACGTTATTACGTTGACAAATCATCATACACATGTACGATTTTTTTTTTTAGTTGGAGATGTTTTTATTATACGTATTCATTCTTCTATGGCCTTGTTGTCCTATGGGATAAACCGTGGCTTTGGGACATAAAATATTGTTTTTATAATTATCCTTATCATCCCGTTACCGATGATGTGTGGTGGTATTACATGATATCAATGTCATTTTACTGGGCATTAAGCTTTTCTCAATTCTTTGATGTAAAAAGGAAAGATTTTTGGCAGATGTTTATTCATCACATAGCTACAATTGCACTTATGTGTTTTTCGTGGGTCGGAAATCTAACGAGGATCGGTAGTCTGGTCTTGCTTGTGCACGATTCTGCGGATATACTCTTGGAGGTAAGAATGTTCGAAAGAGAAAAACTATATTCTATATTTCAATTTATACGCACTATTTTTAATTCGCAGGCGGCAAAATTGACCAAGTATGCAAATTATCAAAGACTTTGCGACTGTATATTTGCTGCGTTTACAATTCTCTGGATTGTAACACGTATGGGCGTGTACCCATTTTGGATAATTTATAAGTATGTATTAATATATTTAGATTTTGAGCGATTAAATGTGCAGATTATTTAATACTGATGCCAATCTATTGTATGTTACAGTACATCTATAGAGGCGCCTAAGATAGTACCGATGTTCTTCGCGTATTATATCTTTAATTCTTTATTAATTTTACTACTGTTTCTCCACGCAATTTGGACTTATTTAATCATTCAGATCGCATACCGTGCTTTCAATGCTGGTCAGGTATGTGCTGCTGATTTATATAAATTGTCGCGTGCACGTTCATTGGGATATTTTTTTGATATTAATGAACACACATCTACATGCTAATCTTTTCTTCTGGAAAAACTATTACAGATGGAAGGTGATATTCGCAGTAATAGCAGCGACGAAGTATCTGACACTTCGGTCAATAATACTCCCATAAATAGTACCGTAAATTACACTAACAAATCAAATTCGAAACCAAAAGCCCACTAACAAGACGCATGCCACATAGGTCACTATGTTAAAAGATTGATTCCAAGGTAAAAAAATTCATCCGAACGTTTAGCCAGGGCTAATTTTTCTTCCTACAAGTATAATGAAATCTTGAATACGACTTTAATCTTATAATCCAAGACGCTAACGTTAACATACCTATTTAATCTCTCATGAAATTAAAATGTATACTTTTCTCCTATTTCCCATCATAAGTGTTTCTCTTAAAACAGTTCAATGCTTTGTCACAAATTTGCTTGTGATCCTCTCAAATTTTAAATATATTTGCGTTTATATATAGGAATGCATTATATACATATATAAAGAACAACGAAAGGAAAAAAACAAGAGAGGATAAATCTTGAAATACCAACAATTCGCGCGTTCCGCTAATTATAACTTCACTTTATTTAAGAATTAACTATAAGTATATATATTTCTTTTTGAACGAATTCTTAATGCTTAGTTAAGATAAGAATGGACCAAAGCCGCCAAGACGTTCGGTATCTGACCACCGTCGGGTCTTTCAGAATCTAATATCACGTAAATACTTTTTGAAAACTGTATTTATTTATTTTTTTATACTTTGTGAGCATTAGTTAGTGTGATTCATAAGTATAAAAACAATTCAATTAATAATAAATTTCTATTAATTACATACGATTCTCTCTTATTCTATTTCTTGACGCGAAATTCAATTAAACCGTGGGTCAGCGCATAATTCACAAATTGCGACGATATAATTTAGCTTGAGCGCATCACAATTAATGTATTCCACGATGTCTATATATCGCTTGAGCTATCGAAAAGGGTAATTTTTGCATTTGTATAAATATATATCAATGAATAAATTTATGTAAATTGTACGTTAATTGTGTACTTACATGAGTACTCACGAGTACACACGAGTATTCACGAATCGTCAGTATTATTCTTATGTAATACTAGAATCGTCTTCGTGTATCTCCAATAAAATTTCTTTATTGATTCTCGAATGCTCTTGTTTTTGCTTATTTGTTCTCTCTCTCTCTCTCCCTTTTAATGCATATAAAAAATAGTGTTAGACGCTCCATTACATAATACTTGTTTAAAACGTCCGCCATTTGGCGAACAGCCATGGCCAGGACCGAATTTTTGTTTACCGAATGCAATTGGACGCCCTCAAGTACTGTTGCACATTAAACTAGAGCTTCTATAATATTATATCTATAATATTAAACCGTCGTACATAATTGATGTAAAGAAGTGCATTTAATATATATTTAATAATTTCATATTTTATAAATACAGAAACGAGTTAAATGACGCAACATCATTTTATTGTGCGTGCGTGCGTGTGTGCTGTTAGATAAAATATTTTATAATTCAAAATATTTGCATTTCATTTTTACACTCGGATTAAATGAGTGTACAATATAATTATAGCTTTGTATGTATCAATACATATTAGTGCGTTCAATCGAATTCGATAATGTATACCCAGCTAATGCTAAATATTCACGGGAAGTTCGATTCGTATTACCAATGTACTGAATGTTCCGAAACAGTAAAAGAATCGTCACAGAATGTGCAAAATGATGAAATGTTCAGTATATTGTGTGAATACTTCTTGTATATTTCACGAAAATCGCTAGCGAGCGAGCTATTTTCCTCGAAGCGAGAAAATACGTAAGGTGAGCTATTCCCGTGGATGCGCAGTAGGAGAATAAATTTGGACAACATTTGATTGGTTATTCCAGTATAACCAGCGCTATTATACATCAGAAAGTACATGTTGGAACACATTTGATTGGTTATTTCTAGTATTGCTACCGCCATTATGCGCAATAGCTCACCTTACGTATTTCCTCGCTTCGAGGAAAATAGCTCGCTCGCTAGCGATTTTCGTGAAATATACAAGAAGTATTCACACAATATACTGAACATTTCATCATTTTCCACACACTGCGCAGCACTTCATCTGTGAAGTGAGCTGCTGAGCCCTAAAATTAAACTCCAAGGTAAAAATGGGTGCATTTAGTACTACAATTGCTCACTGAGCGCTCAGTGAGAGCTTGTTTCTGTTTGGTCTATATTTTCAGTTCTAACGGAAATGCCAATAAGATGCAAGCGCTCACTGAGTTCTCAGCGCTTGCTAGATCTAAAAGTATGATCCAATTAGCGCGAAGGAAACTTACAACAGTTGCAAAACAAACGTTCTGCTGAACGCAGCCATTGTATTTTCCAAAGTAAAATTTTGTTTTAAAATTAATTCATGGACAACCTGACCTGAAATTTTTAGAAAATTGAAAATTTTGGGGAATATATATGGAATATATATGGAATATTCTCGGAATATGTAACGATATACAAATGAAATTTTTAACCGACATTTGAATGTTTCTTTTACATGGAGCCCAATTTTGGAGCTCACTGGAACGCAGCCAAAGTCGTCAGGGCCGCCAATACCGCCGTGCTCTGTTGAGTGCTGACTCCGTCAATGAGTAAATAGTAAACATTCCGAGAATAAACATGGCGGCACATGGTGGTGTCATAACTTGGAGGGGTGGGCGTACAGATTAAGAGCCGCCAAACCAAAGCTTATCGTTCTCACGACGTCACGCGACGTGGGTGTCAATGCGTATTCGTGATTACGTAAGTCGGTAATCGCGTGGCATCTTCTGTTTTTTTTTCCTGTTATATCCGGCTGCCATGTGATCTAAGCTCCATTCCGCCTTTTCGAAGGTATGTACCAACAGTAGTACACTTATATTCCACTGACCGACTGACGTCGAACGGAGAGGGGATCGTGACATTGATCTGACATTCAAATTTCAGCCGGTCCATGCCGTGATCACGCTACCAATTTCATTAATTGTGCACAAGGTATCCTGGTAAAAACATGGGTGGCAAGTGGTCCAGCATGGATCCCTCGCAAATTGAAGTACCGGAGATAAAAACCCTCCTTGAGAGAGATCCATATCTGAAGCCGTACGAGAATGACATTCGACGAAGGTATTTTTATTTGTAGTGATTTTGTATATAAAGGTTATGCCTGATTTGCACTATTTTGCGACGTCGCTCCTAACAATAATTCGTTGAAAATATTCTGGTAATGCTACATCACCTTTCTAGATATGCCCTGTTTAAGGATTATATTGAAAGAATAGAAGAGGGAGATGGAGACCTTAGGCAATTTACTACTGCATATGAGAGCTTTGGTATTCATGTCCAAAATGATAATAGTGTTGTCGCAAAGGAATGGGCACCTGGTGCGCAGGAAGTATTTCTAACTGGAGAGTTTAGTATGTATTATTTTCTTATGGTTATATTAATATATTTAATATTCAATCAGGATTATTTTTAATTAATATAACTATTTCATTGTTTAGATAATTGGCAAAAAACTGCTACACCATATAAAAAATTAGAATATGGCAAGTGGGAGTTGCATCTACCTCCGAATGCAGATGGGAGTTGTCCTTTGAAACATAACTCTGAAATAAAGCTGATTATCAAGAATCACAATAACGAGCTGCTTGAAAGATTGAGTCCCTGGGCGACTTATGTAACACAGAAACCGGATAAATCTGAAGGGACTACTTACAAACAACGTATATGGCATCCAGAAAATGTATTGGATGGTCACTAGAAATGCTTCTGGGAGAGATGTGACAAAAAGATTTATAATACTTCTTTTCTAGACATACAAGTTCAAACATCCCAAACCAAAGAAACCAGAGAGTCTCAGAATTTACGAATGTCATATTGGAATTGGTACCCAAGAATGTCGCGTTGGCACCTACTTGGAATTTGCTAGGGATGTGATACCACGGATTGTTAAGCAAGGATACAACTCGATACAAGTAATGGCGATCATGGAGCACGCTTACTATGCTAGTTTTGGATATCAGGTTGTATTATTTATATACACAGTTATAAAATTAATTATATAATTATGTATGTAAGTATCAGCTCTATGTCTCTTTTATTAAAATCAAAGGTGACTTCCTTCTATGCGGTTTCGTCTCGCTATGGAAATCCAGAAGAGTTAAAAGAGCTAGTGGATGTGGCACATCAGCATGGTCTTTATGTTCTGCTGGATGTGGTACATTCGCATGCTTCCAAGAATACTTTGGACGGACTGAATATGTTTGATGGTACAGACGCATGTTTCTTCCATAGCGGTTCTCGCGGTGAACACTCGTTGTGGGACAGCAGGCTATTCAATTACGCGGAATACGAGGTACTTCGGTTCCTATTATCCAATTTGCGTTGGTACATCGAGGAATATGGTTTTGATGGATTCAGGTACTTAGTTTTTTATAAGAACAGATCTAATTATACAAAAGTTTGTGACTTTCATAATATAACAAATATTTTATTGAAATTGCAATTATTTGGCAGGTTTGATGGCGTCACATCAATGTTGTATCACTCAAGAGGCTTGGGACAAGGTTTTAGTGGTCATTATGATGAATATTATGGTTTGAATGTTGATGTGGAGGGCATAGTGTATTTGATGCTCGCTAATCATATGTTGCGTGAAATATATCCCGAAGTTGTCACAATTGCCGAAGATGTTAGTGGAATGCCAGGTGTTTGCAGGTACAAGACTTATATCAACTTTAGTAAATCAAAACAGATGAAAATATTAATTACATAAATAATTTTATAAATATTTCGCAAAATACCCAAGGCCTGTCGCTGAAGGTGGTATGGGATTTGATTACCGCTTAGCCATGGCTATTCCTGACAAATGGATTAAATTATTAAAAGAGGTTAAAGATGAAGATTGGAAGATTGGCGAGATTTGCTGGACACTCTCCAATCGAAGATGGATGGAGAAAGCGGTCGCTTACTCCGAGTCTCACGATCAAGCCCTCGTTGGTGATAAGACGATTGCATTCTGGCTCATGGATAAGGAGATGTATACGCACATGAGCACTTTGAGTTCACAAAGTGATATCATTTCTCGTGGCATTGCTCTTCATAATCTAATCACGCTGATCACGCATGCTTTGGGTGGCGAAGCTTATCTAAACTTCATGGGTGAGTAATAAATAAATAATAAATAATTTTAGATTAATCTCTTACTATATGTGAGCAGTTGTATCTCGAGATACACGATCAAAATTCATTTAAATTATGATTGAATAAAAATATGAGCAATCAGAGATACTCTGATGTATATCTTGCAGGCAATGAGTTTGGTCATCCCGAATGGCTAGATTTTCCGAGGGTCGGAAATGGAGATAGCTACCATTATGCCAGACGTCAGTGGAATTTAGTGGACGACGAATTACTGAAGTATAAATGTATGAACAATTGGGATCGCGCTGTAAATATGCTCGAAGAGAAGTATGGATGGTTGCATGCCCATCCTGTAAGTAGCTTTATAAGTTTTTTTTGTGTTTTCGTCATTATCTGAATAGTTTTGATGTTCGACAATAAAGGATTAAAGAAATTTAAAGAATCAAGAGTGACGTTTCAATTTATATAGCTTTGTGAGCTGGAAGCATGAAGATGATAAAGTGATTGATATTTGAATTTATAGGGCTATGTGAGCTGGAAGCACGAAGATGATAAAGTGATTGTCTTTGACCGAGGTGATCTCACATTCGTCTTTAACTTTCATCCAGTCAAGTCATTCGCCGATTATCCGGTCGGTGTAAAAAATCCAGGAACGTACAAGATCGTTTTGTGCAGCGACGATGAACAATTTGGAGGAGAATGTCGCGTAGACACGAGCGTGCAACATTTTACGCAACCAGAATCATTTTCTGCATATCAAAACAAAATGATGATCTACATTCCGCGCCGTACAGCGTTAATTTACGCACAAATTGGTAATGTATAATATCAATGATATAATACATTTTTTTTAATACTGTTCATAGCAATTAATATTAAAATAATATTGACTATATTTTAGATGGTTAACTGCTGTCTCGTGAATGAAGACTGTTTGAAAATTGTATAATGATAAATCACATCTATCTAGTAATATAAATAAACGTAAATATCATATATTTTTATATTTAGGAAACTTATGAAGAAGATATATCGCGATAATCCTGAAAAAGAATCTTGTGAGTATAATTAGATTTCTTTTAGAAAAGAATTACAGTAAATGCTGATGGATTTAACTTGTTTTCTCAGACATTATTAATTTATTCTAAGTCATTGAATTAATATATTTTGGATAAATTTAAAATATTTTTCTATTGAATTTTAATCAACATATTCTGTGAACAGAATAGAGATGATTTATTATGATAATAATCTTTCAATTTATTCAGTTCTAACAATTATGCCTATATATTCACAAATACAGTTGTTTTACTAAGCAAATTTTATATTAAGATCTTTTGTATCTTGGTTGTAATTTACAAATATATATATATATATACTCGTTTTTCAAAACTTAAAAATGTATAGTTTTTTACATAATTAATACAATCGTTTCCTATCAAAATTTAACATAATGAAACAGTACCTGTATTGTTTATACAGTTCCTGCAACATAGAATTCAACCTCGTTTACATCATAGTCTTTCATTTTCCTATCTAATATCCACCACTTTTCTAGAAAGCCTACATCTATTATTCTTTCATAGAAAGTTACATATCGTGGTTTTAAGTAAGAACAGACAGCCTTATACGAGGAACAATCTTTGTCATAATTATCCAACCAAATCAGAGACAAAACGCCTAAATTTAGTCTCCTGATTATCCCTTCATTGTAGCACTGTTCCAACCATTTGATGTGCTGTACAGAGACAGGATTGCGTATGGGTTCTCCTACTTGTATTAACTTTATACTGCTTTGCATTAATTGTTCCCTGAACATAGTTTCGTCTGGATTGTGTCGATTAGAGTAGAAGCAGCTTCCTAAAACTATAATAATACAAATTATTCTCATATACAGATATAAATATTATTACATATTATCATTATACATGTCACATCTCGAAAGTGACATAATCTGCGGACACACTCAAAAAGCGATACGCACGTGTAATATATATTGTAGCACGTACAGGACGCTCTGTGCAATCTTTGACTGTATCTAATGCGACGTCCTTGTAATCTATATACAGACCGTGCCAATATTTCGCTGTAAAACAATAAAACTATTTAGATATTATTCAAATAACAATAAAATGTGATAATTCAACCACATATTTTGTAATATTATTATTATTTACCCCAGCGTTCGAGAAATGTGCCCTTAACTTTTTCAGGTATCTCATAATTCCTAATTTTAATGCCAATGTCATTAAATTTGGATGTCAATGGCCTAAAAGCTGCTCTAAGTCTATGAGGAAATTGAAATATTTGTTGGGAATTCATGTCAAACCGTAGAGAATCTCAGTAACGTCACGACAATACCATTATACAAATTCTAAGAGCCAACCGCGACGGTATTTAAATCGCGGTAGGTTATGTCTGGCATCAACCATCGATACAGCACATACATTCAGAACGACAACCGCTTACTGAAGATTTGTTTACATCGCAAGCTTCAACATGCTTCAACAACTCCTTATGCGGGGTCTACAATAGGCCTGTTCTTTTTGACTGAACTTTTGCACCAGTTCATCTTTCTTTCTTTTCTCTCCGGAAGGAAAGAAGAGGAAGAAAGATGAACTGGTGCAAAAGTTCAGACAAAAAGAACAGGCCTAATAGAAGTCGTAGCAGTCGTAGGGTTTCAAGTCGTAGAAAATTGACCAATCACAGTCGAATATGAGAAGAATAATCAACTGTGATTGATCAATTTTCTACGACTTAAGACCTTACGACCGCTACAACTTCTATTGTAGACCCCGCATTAAGGTATCTTTTCATGCTGACGCTCATTTTCAGCGTCAAAATAGATCATGTGATCAAAATTGACGCTTGATATTCGTCAATGGCTGCGTTCAGCAGACTCAACAGTTTTGCAACCGTTTTATGAATGGCTGCGTTCAGCAGACTCAACAGTTTTGCAACCGTTTTATGATTGTCTGCTGAGATAGGACCATTCTTCTAGATCTAAAAGTATGATCCAATTAACGCGAAGGAAACTTCCAACAGTTGCAAAACGAATGTTTTGCTGAACGCAGCCATTGTCTGCTGAGATAGGACCATTCTTCTAGATCTAAAAGTATGATCCAATTAGCGCTAAGGAAACTTACAAGGGTGCGTTCCAAAACTCGACTCTATCAACTCCGAGTACCTTTTATCTTTGTTCAACATTCGATGAAGAACAAGGATAAATGATACTCGGAGTTGATAGAGTCGAGTTTTGGAACGCACCCCAACAGTTGCAAAACGAACGTTCTGCTGAACGCAGCCAAGGGCTGCGTTCAGCAGACTCAACAGTTTTGCAACCGTTTTATGATTGTCTGCTGAGATAGGACCATTCTTCTAGATCTAAAAGTATGATCCAATTAGCGCGAAGGAAACTTCCAACAGTTGCAAAACAAACGTTCTGCTGAACGCAGCCAATGGTTGCGTTCAGCAGACTCAACAGTTTTGCAACCGTTTTATGATTGTCTGCTGAGATAGGACCATTCTTCTAGATCTAAAAGTATGATCCAATCAGCGCGAAGGAAACTTCCAACAGTTGTAAAACAAACGTTCTGCTGAACGCAGCCAATGATTGGTTGCTGCTCCGCTGCTTAACGCTTGCTGCGTCCAGTGTGAATTAGGCATTAAACGATACATCATGCGCTTCATGCGCAACTCGGAACGCATCTTTGTCTGTTCTTTTTGGCAGTTGAATTGGTACATATTTCTACTTAAACTGAAATAGATATATATTTGCAGTTTAGCGAAAACGTGATAGAAAACTTCAGTGCAGTTCAGTGCAATAACAGAAAGAACAGATCTTTAGTGGTCAACATTGTCAACAGTCATGGCTGAAATCTTTAAAAACGGCACGTTTCGGGGAGGCGAGTGTCTAATTGCTTTTATGGTGCGTCTGTGACGGTAAAAGAAAAAAAGAAAGTTTTGTTATTCACATTCCTGTATTTCGTGTATTTTTAGGAGAAAAGTGAAAACCGTGGTCTTAGAATACTATGTAAGGTTTCTTTATAGACTTTCGCCTTAAGGTGATTCTTTAGTAAATCGAGTTACCATAGAAATGTCTAATTTTTTTATATAATGAAGTCGAAGTACCGAAATTGACACGTACAAAATTCTATGGTAGGTTAACGATGAAATAAGAGAGAAAAAAAATGTAATCTTTCACATATAACTTAGTGACAAATAAGGCTCACAGACGCTTCTTTGACTAAGGTCTAGTTCCACAACTTACGGTTAACTCTTAATCGGGATTCAACTTATTCTTTGTCTCTTTCCAATTATAGAATTCTAGAATTGGAAAGAGATGAGAAGCAAGTTGAACCTCGGTTAAGAGTTAACCGTGAGTTGTGGAACTGGGCCTAACTGCACACAAATCTTACCATCGACTTTTCTCAAAAACAAGATTATAATAAGTTTAAAAAAAATTACGATTTTAATGATCATAAAAAAGTAATAGGTCAACGGCCAATTTGGAAAGATATTCACGTGCATAAACTTGCATATAAATTTAACCTCGAAAAGCAAACATAATCTCATCTTGTTTTCGTTCGATGAAGATGCAGTTCTTGATTTACTATCGTATGTTCCATACTATTTCATTAAGATATATACGTATTTTTAATATTTTATCCAAATTATGCAAGTAGTTGTAATTTTGGGTGGACCCTGGTGAGGCACATCCTAAATTATATATTTTCGGCACTTTACTAGAGAACCACCTTAAAGCAGAAAAAGCAACTTTGCAACTGTTGTAAAATTCTTTAAATATGATTTATCTTGCCCTTAGTTGCTCATTGGATCTAAATGTATAAACCAATCTTATTCAAGAATTTTACAACAGTTACAAAGCTGTCTTTTCTGCTGAACGTAACCTCTACGCTTGTTATTTGTAATTTGCTAATTTGTTATTTGTAATTTACTTTTTGTTAATCATAATTAACAAAACGTAAATGCATGTAGCTTTGGTTTTTTGGTGTATTAAGGTATAACTATGGTGGAATTGAATATAATCTGTATATGTATATGCCTGATGATGATATCCAAAGCATAATTCAATTTTAATTTGTTTTGTCATTTTGTAAGTACATGATATTTTTTTTATTATATCTATAAACAAACCAATATAATAAAATAAGTAAAAAATAGACAAAGAAAATTAACTTCTTATGTAGTTTATATCACAATTTACTGGATATTATGTATATCAGCAGCGTTAAATATGTAACTGTTATTATATGTATATAACTATAGTAAATATATTTATTATATTTAGAACATCTCTTTCCAGATAGTAGGATCAGCTGAGTTATGCCAGAAAATATCAGAGGGCTTACATCAAAGTGCAAAAGAAAGGAAGTGGCAGATATCTGTTCATCAGTGTGAATCTATTACGGATGTTATAAAAACGAGGATAGATATCTCTGTGGATTTTATCATTTTTCCTTTTGACTTAAGAGCTTCACACACCTTGTTAGAAGTAAGTCTCTTTTGCAAATAATTTTCAATATAATCTTTTTATCATATTAAATGACTCATTATCTTTAGTTATTTATTAATTATTATTAATTAATGATTATTGATCTCTATTTATTATTATTAATAATGTTTTAGATAGAAGCTAACATAGCCAGGATAGATGAATATTATATATTGTCTGGTGCAGTTTGCATAGTAAATTGTAATGGAATATCCAATGTTATGGGATTGATCCATAAATCTAAGAAACTGTGTCACGATTATAATATTCGTTTTCTCTCTGCTAATATTTCTGTAAGTTTATATTCAAAGCTATAAATATATAGGGTGATTCATATTAACCAATTTAATTATTAGCAAAATTTGATGACATAGAAATAATCTTTGATGACATACGGAAATGAAATTTGATGACATACTAAAACAAACTTTTTCCTTTAGCAAAATTGCGTCCGACAAGTAGTTTTTGCAGAAGAGCAGGTTGAAAATTAACAAATAAGCGCAAAAATTATTTATTGAGCGCAATTTTGTTAAAGGAAAAAGTTGTTTGTTTTAGCTTAAAGTATCATGTCCTGTACTCCGAATGCGAGAATTTCGGATCATCCTGTATACATACACACAAATTCTACAAATTATAATTTATATATTTCAAAACGTACTTTTTATTTTAGAATAAGAAAGCCTGTGTCTCTTTAGGAAGCAGAATTCTAAATATAACAGAAGGAATATTGGGATTAAACAGTGGTATACCTGTTATTGGAACTGTTGCACAATACAACTAGATTACAAAAATAGTGAGGTGCTAGTAAAGTGATTTGCTAGTAATTTACACATATTTTTTTTCAAAAACTATATATTAAATTATCATCAATTGTCAATAATATTGTTTAAATCATTAAGATTAACATCGAGATGAAAAAATCAAGTGGTAAGACATACGCTTCCAGCCAAGAGGACAGCGAGAACGACAGTGACGTGACAGAATGCAGCATTGGAAGCAATTCCACCGCTGGTACTCACCGTAGCGATACGCCCACTCGTAGCGCCCGTTATAAACGAAAAGGCCGTCGCAGGAGTAAGACGGCAAAATACAAACCTTGTACAGACAAACCAATGTACAAATTTTGCTGTAGTGTTAAGGAAGATCACGGGCAGCCCTTATTTGGCGTACAATTCAATTATCATTTGAAGGAAGGCGAACCATTGATATTTGCCTCTGTGGGTAGCAATCGCGTAAGCATCTACGAGTGTCCGCAGAATGGAAATATACAGCTACAACAATGTTACGCCGATCCAGACACAGAGGAGAATTTTTACACATGCGCGTGGACATACGACGATTCTGGGAAGCCTTTGCTAGCTGTGGCGGGATCCCGTGGAGTTATCCGAGTTATAAGTCCTGCGACAATGACTTGTATCAAGCATTACATCGGCCATGGGCATGCGATAAATGAGCTAAAGATTCATCCAAGAGATCCGAACATTCTATTATCAGCATCGAAAGATCATGCTCTAAGACTATGGAACATCAAAACGGACGTGTGTATCGCGATCTTCGGTGGCGTGGAGGGCCACAGGGACGAAGTCTTGAGCGCTGATTTCGACATAAAGGGCCAAAGAATCATCTCGTGCGGAATGGATCATGCTCTTAAGTTGTGGTCTTTGGAAAAGCCAGACATGCAGGACGCAATAAAACAATCCTATCATTGCAATCCCACCCGCAATGGCAGGCCCTTTGATTCAATACTGCAACATTTTCCAGACTTTACCACTCGTGACGTTCATCGAAATTATGTGGACTGCGTGAAGTGGTTCGGTGACTTTATCCTGAGCAAATCCTGTGAAAACTGTATCGTATGCTGGAAACCGGGTAGACTCGAGGACTCGCAGTTACGCAATGGAGAAACAAGCGCGACGGTTTTACATCGTTTCGAGTTTAAGGAATGTGATATTTGGTTTATACGCTTCTCCATGGATTTTTGGCAGCGCACGATCGCGTTAGGGAATCAGGTCGGCCGCACTTATGTTTGGGATTTGGACGTAGATGAACCTGGACAAGCACGCAGCTGGTCTCTTCAGCATCCCCGTTGCACCGTACCGATTCGCCAAACTAGCCTAAGCCGAGATGGCTCCGTGTTATTATGCGTCTGCGATGATGCAACAATTTGGAGATGGAATCGCGATCATTAACTCTTCAAATCCACTTTATCATAATTAAAAAGACGTGCCTTTTCATATATAAGCTATATTAAATATTTGTGCTTTTTATAGCAATTATTTAAATCTAGGCTAAACTATATCTGTTAGATTAATTCAAATCGAGTACGAATTCACTATATGTACACTATATGTGTGTATAATAAAAAAAAATTGCATTTATAATGAATTGCCAAATGCATAATACATTTTTAACGAATGGACTGCTATCCGACGTAGTTAGTTTTATAGTTTATAAAGGAAAAGTCACGATTAAACTGCAAAAGTATTTCAGAATTATAAGTGAATGAGATTATAGAAAATAGAAAATCATTCTTATATCTTTGCAAATCGTTTAGGTAGAAAATCGTTTTTTAAATCTCTTTGCAATGTATTACAAATAATATCTTGTATACTTTTATATAAACAGATTAAGTCTTCTTTATGACTTTTACATAGATTTTAAAACTTTTCTTGACTGCTTTTAATAAATTGTAATGCCATTTTCGCGCTCTAAATGGGTGCATTCAGTACTATGACCGTTTACTGAGCGCTCAGTGAGCCCTTGTATCTGTTTGGTCTATATTTTTAATTCTAACGGAATATGCCAATAAGATGCAAGCGCTCACTGAGCGTTCAGTGAGCGGTTGTAATACTGAATGCACCCAATGTAATTAATTTTAGATCTAACGGAATATACTAATCGGATGCAAGAGCTCACTGAGCGCTCAGTGAGAGATTGGATGCATTGGGTGCATTTAGTACTACAACCGCTCAGTGAGCGCTTGCATTTTATTGGCATATTCCGTTAGAATTAAAAATATAGACCAAACAGATATAAGAGCTCACTGAGCGCTCAACTGTGCTGTCATGTGATAATTTTTTATCAAAGAAAGCAAATAATGACGTCATTAATCTGAGTATGAAATACTCAGGCTCAGTTTCACTTGTGTACAAATGGAAAGCAATTAATAACGAGGGCTCAATATAACTCGATTGATTCATTTTTTTAGGAACTAACATTTTTAATTAGAAGCGAAATTAAGGTAAAGTTAAGTTGTATATATTTATCAGCACTTGAAATACTTTGAAATATCGTTTTTGTATCTTTGTACAATAATAACATTAATAAATATCATTGTCTACAATATATTAGGGTCGAATTGCAAGTATTATATTTATTATTTCGATGAAAAAGTGATTTTTAATAAAACCATTTAAAGCTGGTTCTATATTAGTCGTATCGCAGCGTCGCAAGCATTGCAGTCCAATTGCTGGATTCACACTGCATCCGATTTTCGTCGTACGACGTTCTGCATCCAATCAGAAAACAGGATTCCGATAATACGAAGCAAAATTCATCGGAATCCTGTTTTCTGACTGGTTGCAGAGC